TTCAGATATGTCATGATTTATTTTTTCCCATACTTGTAACTATAGGACTGTGTTGGTTCTTTTCACTATGAAGAACAGTCTTAAGAACAAGTCCTTATCTATCTAAGAGAGACATTTTGAGCAGCTTTGCTTTGTTAAAAGATGCTGCCATAACAAGGACTAAATCTAGATTTCTTTCTTCTATCCCTTGGTTAAAGTGTTCTTCTAAATGGGGCATAACCAAATTGCTTTATTTATGAAATTGTCCTCCCCATTGTCCTTAGGGCTGGAGTTACAGCTGTGCATGGGGTGCCTGGCTTGGGATGCTGGAATCTGAACTCTGGTCCTTGTATGGCAAGTGCTCTTAACCACTGAATTATATCTTGCTTTTGTAGGTGGAGGGGAAAACCAACTTTGAGTGTGTGTGTGGGGTGTGTGTGCCAGCACACTGGCATGCTGGAACTCGGCCTCCTGCGTGTTGGGCAGCCATTTGACACTGAACTGTACTCTTTTACTGTCATCATCCACACACCCATCTTGGTCTTTTCAGGGAATGCTTAATTAGGCCAATTTGCCTTCAGGCCCTAAAAATTCGTACATTTTTACTTTTAATCCAACAGCAGCAGCCGCTCTTCTAAAACATTCAAACCGAAGAAGAATATCCCTGAAGGTTCCCATCAGTATGAACTCTTAAAACATGCAGAAGCAACTCTAGGAAGTGGCAATCTCAGGCAAGCTGTTATGTTGCCAGAGGGAGAGGACCTCAATGAATGGATTGCAGTTAACAGTAAGTATTTAACATTTAACTTGGTGGTTTATAGAGTTTGCTAAAATCTTATTTCATGAATTTTCTTTTATAGCTACAACTCTTATAATAATTAATATAATAATAATGTTAATAATATTGTAATAAAACAGCTATCTTAAAAAAAGCACAAATATATCTAAAAGTGTACTCTTCAGAGTACTTGCTTGTGTGGTTGCGTAAAGAGAGCTGAGGAGAAAGAATGAGTGCTGTAGGGTACTTCTTAACACTGTCTAGAGTTGTGTAAGGTCAACTAAAAAAGATTGATAAATGTGAAGTAGGAGGCTTATATATTGTTAAATGTTTGGACCATGTGAAGTATTACTTACTCAGGAAAACTCCCTATATTTTATTTTATTCAGATTATCATGTTGGGGCTGGAGAGATGGTTCAGTGGTTAAGAGCACATAATGTTGTTAAAGAGGACTGGAGTTACGTTTCCAGCATTCATATAGGGCATCTCATAACTCCAGATCCAGGGGATCCAAAAATCTCTTCTGACCCCTGTGGGCACTTATATTCATGTGCACATATCCACAAACATAGATATATATACAATTTGAGATTTTGTTTTTGTTCTTTCTGAGACAGGGTCTCCGTGTAGCCCCAGCTGTCCTAGAACTCACTATGTAGACCAGACTGGCCTTGAACTCACAGAGATCCGCCTGCCTCTGCCTCCCAAGTGCTGGAATTAAAGGCGTGCACTACCACGCCCGGCCACAATTTAAGATTTTAAAATTAAAAATTAGGAAATGGAGCAATGGCTCAGCGGTTAAGAGCACTGACTGCTCTTGCAGAGGACCTGAGTTCGATTCCCAGCACCCATGTGGCAGCTACAAACCATCCTTAACTCCAGTTCCAGGGGAATCCGAAGCCCTCTTATCTCTGTGGCATTGCACGACATGGGTGCACTCACATACATGTAGGCAGTACACTCATACACATAAAATAAAAATAATAAAAAATAAATGAGAATTTTAATAAATTTAGTTATTCTGAAGGCATTTTTGGCCTCTTGCAGCTTTAGATTTTTCTTTGAGACCTAACTGCTCTAAGTCAGCTATTCAAATCTTTTGATCTTTGGCCAGTGATGTGGCTAAACTGGTAAAAGTACTTGCCGCCAGGCCTGATGACCTGAGTTCAATCCCTGGAACCTGCATGGTAAAAGGAGAGAAATGACTACAAGTTTTCCCCTGACCTCCACATTTGTACGCAGACACACATGCCCACACGCCCAGTGTATCTGCTCTGATGTTACTGTTTGGAAATTTTAAACTAAGAAAAATTTAGATACTTTCAAATTCATTGAAAAGAAACATGTTGAGGTAAATACTTTTCTAATTAAAAGACTTCTAAAATAAGTTTCCATGAGAAACATGGCTTTGCTTCATATTTTTGCAAGTCTTATTTACTGTCTGACTTACTAGGCAGCCAGGTTCTCATATCTACTTCTGCATTCACTGTTGTGATGCCATGGAGCTCCTGGAAAACCCCACTGTAGTACCCTCTTGATGAGAGCGAAAGGAGCAGCTAGCTATAAGGGACACCTGCATCACCTCTTGAGAATTGCTACTTTTAACCAAACCCACCACTATCTGGGCCTACTCTTGTTTTATGAGAATACTGAGGTTTGACTAAATGTTATTTTCTTTAAATAATTAAGAGGCAGATTTAAAAGTGAGGGAATTTTTATGAAATTGTTTTGACAAGGTAGAATTTTTTTCCTAATCCGTTTTTGAGGAAACTTGGAAAGTCCTAGTGGGCTTTTAGGCATTGCCTCAGATAGAGAACCACAATATTTTTAGAACTTTTCCAAGTCTTAGTGGTTCTCTGTACACAGAATAGTAACCCTTCCTCAGTTTATTACTCATTCCTTCCTCCATTGTCCTACAGAACTAGCTGAAGCTCCATTAAGATGTGCTCTCTGACTATCTTGGCTCTACACTGCCTCTTCTCTAAACTTCTCAACTGTTAGTCTGTGGGTCCCATCTTCTGTTTTGTACTAATCATCTTTTAAGATTTTTTTCCCTTCTGTTAGCATAGACTCTAGATCAAGGGACTTGATCCCATATCCTTTTTATTTCTTCAGTATGCCAGAGACTTCAAATCCTTATGCTGAACCAGACACTTGAAATGCATGTTGATACAGCTGGTAACTCTCCCTGAGTATGTTCTATAATACTTCTTTTCCTTTTCCTAACAGATGGTGTTACATGGGGTTTGGATTGATAAACTATGGATCTTTCAGTTCCTTAGAGCTAATCAAATTATATACTCTGGTGATTTGTTTGCCACCATTAAGTTAAAATTATCTCCAATATTTTATTTTGCCTAACTTAGTTGGGTATAGTATGTGTTCCTGTAATCCCAGCTGCTTGGAATGTTGAGGCAAAAGGATCACTTAAGTCCAAGACTTCAAGGCTAGTCTATAAAAAGACCCCATTTCAAAAAGAAAATGCTGTTCATTTTTCCTTCAACTGCAAGCTCTGGTTTGTTGTGGTTTACATAGATATTTAACACAGTTCTGTATCTCTGCAGCTGTGGATTTCTTCAATCAGATCAACATGTTATATGGAACTATTACAGAATTCTGCACTGAGGCAAGCTGTCCAGTCATGTCTGCAGGTCCCAGGTACATGTCTAGCTTGTTCTATAGGCATTAGGATTACTTTTGCTTTACAACTGATATAAATTAAATAATTAAACATAATAAATAATACTGTTCTTATTAACTATTTCTTCATGTAAAGACAATTCAATTTTATGAGTTCTTGAATACTTACCTATAGTTGTTACTATTAAATCCTTGGTATTCAGTGTTTGATCTTTTTATTGTATTATTCTCTTACAGGAGTAAAAGTATAGAAATTTGAGTTAAATTATCTTGCATCCCAAAAGATCTTTTTAAAACCTGATCAACAAGGCGGGCGTAATGGCACATGCCTTTAATCCCAGCAGAGGGAGGTGGATCTCTGTGAGCTCAAGGCCAGCCTGGTCTTCATAGTGCATTCCAGGCCAGCTGGGGCTTCAGGAAGATCCTGTCTCATAAAGACCAAAAAAGAAAAAATTTGATCAACATTTATGGTTCCTATTTTTTGTTTTGTTTTGTTTTTTGAGAAAGGGTCTCCCTGTAGCTCCCTGGAACTCACTATGTAGACCAGGCTGGCCTCACAAAGATCCGCCTGCCTCTGCCTCCCAAGTGCTGGGATTAAAGGTGTGCGCCACCATGCCTGGCTGTTCCTATATTTTTAGGTTAATTTCTTGCAGGAGTGTTTAGCTGGCCTTTAAATATTGGAATTTTTTTTTTTTTCTTGGTACCTATGAAATGTTCATGAAAGTAGCAGTACAATTCAGAAGTGTTTATCTGGTTTAAAGATGCTAGGTTAAAATATTTTGAGGGCTGGGGATATGGCTAAGTGGTTGAGTGTTTCATAGCATGCATGAGGCCCTAGATTGAATCTCCAATACTGCCCCCCCCCCCCCAAAAAGGAGGTAGAGGGAAGATGGGTCATTGAGTAAGGCACATGCTGCCAAGTTTGAAAATCTGAATTCACACTCCAGATCCCACATAGTTGAGAGAGAAGAGAGAACTGACTCCCACAAATTGTCCTCCTCTAACCTCTACACGTATTTCATGACATGCATACTCATACACATACACACGCACACACACTAAATATAAAAGATTCAGGGCTGGCAGAATTGCTCAGCAGATAAAGGTGTTTGCCTCCACAGAGCCTGGTGAAGTATGAGTTCAGTCCTTAGGACCTATGTGGTGGAGAGAACCAATTCCCACAAGTTGTCCTCTGGCCTCCCTACCTGTACCCATGCACATACATACATACATACATACATACATACATGCATGCATGCATACAAAATTGTAATTTCTTAAAAATTTAAAAGTTTTTAACTATAATAAATTTTAGGGAATATTTACAAAGAGAATAAAATTCTTACCTAAAATGTTACGTCTTGCTTGAGAGATGGCTCAGCGGTTAAGAGCACTGACTGCTCTTGCAGAGGACCCAGGTTCGGTTCCCAGCACCCACATGGTGGCTATGAACTATCCTTAACTCCAGTTCTGGGGGACTCTGAAGCCCTCTTCTGACCTCTGTGGCGTTGCACGACACAGGTGCACTCACATACATGTAGGCGATACACTCATATACATAAAATAAAAACAATAAAAAAAAAATGTTAAGTCAACCTGTGATGGGAATATTTTGCTGTGCTTTATTCTAGCCTTTTCTCCTATAGTAACTGATTTCATGTAATAATAGATAGTATCAAGGTACTCTCCCCTGGAAAAGATTATCCAGTCTTTGTTCCAGCTATAAAGGAAGACCTCTAGTGAATGTGTGTTCTTTTTATTTCAGTATTTTAGGAGAGCTGTTGTTATTTTAGGTTTTTTTTGTTCTGTTTTTTAAGACAGGGTCTCACTATGTAGTCCTGGCTGGCCTCACAGATCTCTGCCTGTCTTTGCCTGTTGAGTGTTGGGGTCAAAGGTTTGTGCTCCCAGCCTGTTGTTACTTTTGAGGTAAGTTTTATCTTAAACTTTAAAGGAAATTAAGATAAAATGAAATTTCGGGTCAGTTAGATGGCTCAGTGAATAAAGGTACTTGCTTCCAAGCCTGGTGATGGGGCCTCAGTTCCCAGGGCCCACATGGCAGATAGAAAAAACCAACTCCGGAAAGTTGTCCTCTAACCTGCATTCCATTGTTGCGGGTTCTCCTCAGGCCAGCTGTGAAGACCCTGACCTAGATTGGGTCCCCTGCCGATTATGGGGGGCAAGAGGTGTGGAGTCAACACACAGACCCTGGGAGTCCGGTAGAAGCAAGCACTAGGCAAGGTGCTGCAGGCTCGTTTAATGCAGGAGGGGGCAGGCCTTATATTTCCCTTTTCTCCGCCCCCAAGTCCCTTTAGTCAGCATATCATTTTCTGATTGGTCCTCACCACGCAGTCTGTCAGCAGTCACTGGGCTCATGAGCAGGGTATGGAGGCATGGGCTCCTTTCGGCAGGCTATTTGCAGACCGAGAAGTGGAGTGAATTCTTGCTGAATCCCAGGGCTCTGGGACCATCTTTGGAGGCCTCCTGCTACACTCCATGGCCTGTGTGTGCCCATAAACATAGTCTCTCTCTGTCTCTCTCTGTCTCTCTCTCTCTCTCTCTCTCTCACACACACACACACACACACACACACACACACACACGCTAAATGTAATTTTTCTTTTTTAAAGTCGTGTGTGTGTGTGTGCGTGCGTGCGTGCGTGCGTGCGTGCGTGCGCGCGCCCATGGAGGCCAGAAGTATTAGGTCTACTGAAGCTAGAGTTGCAAACATTTGTAATCTGGGTACTGGGATCCTAACTCCAGTCCTCTTTTAGAGCAGTAAATGCACTTAACCACCACTATAGCCCCATTAAATGTAATTTTAAGTAAATAAAGAAAATAGAAAATTTAAATTTGACTGTGGCTTGTTAAATGCTTTACCCTGTGAACTTTCACACAAATCTTGCTAATTATTCTAGCTCAGGAAAAGTAAAGTTGAAGAAAGTACACATGCCTAAAAAAATGTTTCTCTTAACACTTCCTCCAGGGAACATGATTTCTGTCTAATGTTGGCTTTACTGATGATGATAGTCTTAAGTGTAGCAGAGTCATCTCCTCTTCACCCAGTCCTTAGCACCATCTGCTGTGTAGACAGGAATGAAGTTCCTTTCTCCTTCCCAAGGCTGTCTTTTTTCTTTTTTTTTTAATATTTATTATTTTTATTTTATGTGTATGAGTGTATTGCCCACATGTATGTGAGTGCACCTGTGTCATGCAATGCCATGGAGGTCAGAAGGGAGCTTCAGATTCCCCTGGCACTGGAGTTAAGGACGGTTCGCCATGTGGGTGTGGGTGCTGGGAATCGAACCTGGATCCTCTGCAAGAGCGGTCAGTGCTCTTAACCACTGAAACATCTCTCCAGCCCCCAGAGTTTGATTTCCGAGTCTATACTCTTAGAACTTAAGGAAGCTTCCTTCCTTTCCCTTCTAGAGCAGGTAAGACTTCCTGCTGGAATGACAAACTCCCTTCTCCCTGGCTACCTTTCAGACATCTGGATGGTCCAGCTGAGACTTCAGAGCTAGTCCACTGCTCTAAGGGTCCAGACACTGGAGCCACTTACCCCTGGAGAGCTTTGTGTATATTGATGTTTCAGATATGATCTTCATGTGGGGCAGAAGTTTGGACCAGATAAAGCCCCCACACACAGGTCCTTTGGATTATCCATTAGACTGAGTGCTGTGACATGAGGGTTTAGAGTGTCTAGAGGTAGTTTTACAATTCTCCCCCTCCTCCCTTGTGATCTGACTACTCAGATTTTTGAAGCTAACACATCATTTTTTATTTTTCTCTCTCTGTTTTCTTTTCTGAATCCAGAAAGAGCGGTGCTCCAGTGTCTGCCGGGCAAAGTTGCTAGAGGCAGCATTCCCGGAAGCTCCCTGCCCCAGATGATCCCAGACCTCATGTGACCTGACCACCACAGTTCTGGAAATGTTATGTCTTTCCAGGATGTGATCACTCCTGATGCAAAGCTTGCAGCCACCCTCCTGCCTCAGAGGCTGCTGCTGTTGAGCAACCAGACTAATTAGGATCAGGCAAAGCAGCTTTGTCCTGGTCATAGCCAAAGCTGGGTGGACAGCAGACTGACCTGAGAGGGGCATTGCTCCACCAAATACAGTGTCCTCTGAGACAGGCCATGTACCACATTCAGTACCACTGAAACATGACACAGATCAAGATGAAAGGACAGTGGCTCTGTCCTGTCAAGATGTGGTCTGTGTATAGTTCATGTGCTGCTAAATTAGCTGTTTCAGAATGGCAGGTCTAGGTTATCGGTTAACTGTTGGAGGGCATTGTGCCTGTGCATTGACAGAAGGAAAGTGATTCTGAGAATGAGAATGAGATAAAAGAAGCCAAACTCTGGGCAGGAGAGATGGCTCAGCAGTTAAGAACACTCACTGCTCTTGCAGGGGACCTGGGTTTGAGTCCCATCACCCACATAGTAGCTAACAACTGTCCATAACTCCAGTTCCAGGGGATCCAACTCCCTCTTCTGACTTCCTCAGGCAGAGCACGACATGGGTGCTCTTACACACATGTAAGCAATATACTCATACACGTAAAGGAGATAATAAAATATTTACAAAAAAAGAAGACAAGCTCTACAGTAAAAACATTCATAATGTAAAGGTGGACATTGCTACATATGCCTATAATCCTAGCTGTCAGGAGTCTGAGGCAGGAGGATCAGGAATTTGAGACTTCATAGCCAGACCCTGTCTTAAAACAAGCAAAAACCAAAGGCATTTATAAGCCATAATGAGATTAATTAAAAATAATTACAGAAATACTCAAAAAGACCAAAAATAAAAATAAATAATAATACAGAAACAAAATCTATACCCATCAGTAAGGACAATCATAACAATAACAACCACAACATAATAACCACTTATTGGGCTCGAGCCTAGTGTCAGATACCAAGTCCAGCAAACTTGTCAAATCAGGGCTAGTTAGGTATGATGGTTAATCTCAGTTGTCAACTTAATGAGATCCAGAATCACCTAGGAGATGGGGCTCTCTGAGCATGCCTATGAGGAATTGCCTTGATTAGGTTAACTGAGATGGGAAGCCCTCCCCACTGTAGGTGAAACCATTCCCTGGGCTAGGACCCCAGACAGTATGAAAAGGAGACAGGGAGCCAAGCACAGTCAGTGCTTTCTTCTGACACAATGTAACCAGCTGCTTCTGCCTCCTGCTGTCATGATGGACAGTACCCTGGGACTCTGAGTCAAAATAAACCCTTCCTTCTTAAGCTGCTTTTGTCAGGGGGTTTTATCACAGCAATAGAAAAATAACTAAGACAGTAGGACACCTTCACATTAGAGTGTTCTATTTGTTCAGGGAGCTAGGGAGAAGTAGGGTTGAAAAAGAGTCTTAAGTAACCCGGGTTGGCCTTGAACTCCCTATATGGATGAGGATGACCTTGAACTTCTGATCCTCTTGCCTCTACCTGCTGAGTACTGGGATTACAGGTGTGCATAACCATGCTCGGTTTTTAAACAGTGCTAGAAATGGAACTCAAGGCTTCATGCATTCTCGGTAAACACTCTACCAACTAAGCTACAGTCCCAGGCATTCCCTTGTCCTAAGTTGGTCTCATCAGGGCCTAACTGATCCCTGCCTCCTATTCAGCAGGGCTGAGCCAATTGTACCGCCTTCTTGCCATCCAGAGCTATTGCAATGCATAATCATTTAATTCACTGCTTCTGGAGCCAAACTCAGGCCTGGCAAGGATGGGTTCAGGCTCTCAACATGTATCTTCCCTTCCCCCCACTTCCCCTTCCTTCTCTCTCTAACCATCTCCACTTGTACTTTAACTCCATCTTTTAAAACTAGATGGGGCACCCAAGAAGTATCTGTTTCCCTTTTTATTCCACAATCGACCCGTCTCCTAGCAACCCTGGCTCTTCACAATCTGGGAGGTGGATGTGTCAAAGGGAGTTTGAGCTATAGAGGTGAGAACGAGAGGAAAGCACTTTCCTCACAGGTCCCAAAGTACAGAATCACTGCTTCACAGTAATTAATATTACAGAAGAAGGGATTCACTTTCTGCCATATTGTATGCTCAGCCCTCAGGGTAACAAATAATTTTCCAAGGAGGGCAGGGCTGCACTTTTGTGCCAGAAGCAACGATTTCTATTTGGAAGATACTTAATGATAATGCACCTGACTTGCCCCAAGGACTGATGTAAAGAACATTGAGGTTAAATGAAATTTGCGGGGGGGCGGGGGGAGTGGTACAAGATCAATTAGATCAATGAGCCGTTCTTAAAAGATGTATTTGAGCCAGGCATGATGGCAGGACGGTTCGCCATGTGGGTGCTGGGAATCGAACCCTGGTCCTCTGCAAGAGCAGTCAGTGCTCTTAACTGCTGAGCCATCTCCAGCCCCAGCCAGGGTTGTCTTCTAAAGCATCCATTCTGCCACTGCCAGCTTCTTTCCCTTTTTTCTTCCATGCAATGCCATGGAGGTCAGAAGGGAGCTTCAGATTCCCCTGGCACTGGAGTTAAGGACGGTTCGCCATGTGGGTGCTGGGAATCGAACCCTGGTCCTCTGCAAGAGCAGTCAGTGCTCTTAACTGCTGAGCCATCTCCAGCCCCAGCCAGGGTTGTCTTCTAAAGCATCCATTCTGCCACTGCCAGCTTCTTTCCCTTTTTTCTTCCACTTGTAACTGGCACATTTCAGAATGATTCTATAGGGAACTCCAAGTAATCTTCATGAGAACTTTCTGTAGTTTATTAAAGTTATATATAGCTTATATTAACAAAAAAAAATGAACCTACTTTGATTACAGGTTGTATATTTTTAAGGTAACACATTATTGTTCTCTCCAGGTATGAATATCATTGGGCAGATGGCACTAATATTAAAAAGCCAATCAAGTGTTCTGCACCAAAATACATTGACTATTTGATGACTTGGGTTCAGGATCAGCTTGATGATGAAACACTTTTTCCTTCTAAGATCGGTAAGTTAATGATTATAGAACTGTCTTTTGAGTGATAAGTGTAACCATTTTCTAAAAATCTTTTTTTTTTTTGGTCTTTTTGAGACAGGGTCTCCTTGTAGCCCCAGCTTTCCTGGAACTCACTATGTAGACCAGGCTGGCCTTGAACTCACAAAGATCCACCTGCCTCTGCCTCCCAAGTGCGGGGATTAAAAGCATGTACCACCACACCTGGCTTAAAATCTATTTTTATGTGAATGAGTTTTTGCCTGCTTGGAAGTGCACCCACACACATGCAATACCTTCAGAAGCCAGAAGAGGGCACCTGATCCCCTGGAACTGGAGTTACTGAAGGTTGTTAGCCACAGTTGGGTGCTGGGAACCAAACCTGGGTCCTCTGTAAGAGCAGATAGTGTTCTTAACCACTGAGCAATCTCTCCAGCCCCCCAATAGATGTGTTCTTTAAATGCTCTTATTACTTTATTGTTTTTGTTTTTTTAATCATTTTTATTTTATGGGATGCATGTATTGCCTGCATGTAGGTAAGTGCACCCGTGTTGTGCAATGCCCGTGGCGACAGAAGAGGCCGTCAGATCCCCTGGAGCTGGAGTTAACGGAGAGTTAGCTGCCATGTGGGTTCTGGGATTCAAACCTGGGTCTTCCGCAAGAACAACCAGTGTTCTTAACTGCTAAGCCATCTCTCCAACCCTACTTTATTGTTTTTTGTTGTTGTTTTATATCCCTGTAGCCTTGGAACTTGATATGGAGATCAGACTGGCCTCAATCTCATAGGGATCCACCTGCCTCTGCTTCCCTAGTACTGGGATTAAAGGTGTACACCACTATGCCCAACCTTTTTTCAGTTTTTAAAATTTTTTTTAGAGACTGCCACATTTTCCAAAAAGCTTGTACTAATGTATATTCCCCCCAGCATGTGTGTGTATGTAGGATGTGTGTGCCACAGCATACATGTGCGAGTCAGACAACTTTGAGTTTGAGTTGGTCCCCTTTTTTACCTTTCGTGGGTTTTGGGGCTCGAACTCAGGTCGTCAGGCTTGCATGGCAAGCACTTTACCCACTGAGCAATCTCACTAACTCTAAATAATTGCTTTAATATCCATTTAAAAATATCGATGAGGGGGCCTGTGAGATGGTTCAGCAAATAATGCTTATCACCAAGCCTGAAAAACCTGAGAAAGATCCCCAAGACTCACAGGGTGGAAGGAGAGAACTGACTCCCCAAAGTTGTCCTCTGACCCTATGTGTGCATGTACACACAAACATTCAAATATTGATGTGATTGAGCACCTTTTGGTTTATTGATCATTGCCTGTATTCTGTGTATGGCCTTTGTCTATTTATGGATATTAGCTCTTTGTCATGTAAGCTGAATATATATTTTTCCCCAGGTTACCTTTAGTCTTATTCATGGGGTGTTTTGCTTTATACATTTCTCTTATTTTGGCCATTTTTTTTTAAGTGGGTTGTTTTTGTTTTTGCTTTTTATACTAGAGATTGAACCATGGGCCTAACATATGCATGCTAGGCACATGTTCTACCACTGAGCTCCATTGCCAACCAAATGTTTTACTACAGTGAGAAAGGTTTTCTCAATTTCTAGATTATGAAAATTTTTGGGGTTTTTTTTTTGGTCTTTTTGAGACGGGGTGTCCCTGTAGCCACAGCTGGCCTGGAACTCGCTTTGTAGACCAGGCTGGCATTGAACTCCCAGAGATTCGCCTGCCTCCCCGAGTGCTGGGATTAAAGGCATGCGCCACCACGCCCAGTGAAAATTTATGTGATTTTTTTTTTTGATTATTTTTATTTTATGTGTCTGAGTATTACCTGCATGTATGTGAGTGTACCTGTGTTGTACAATGCCATGAGGTCAGAAGAGGGCTTTGGATTCCTCTGGAACTGGAGTTAAGGACAGTTCATAGCTGCCATGTGGGTGCTGAGAATTGAACCTGGGTCCTCTGCAAGTGCAGTCAGTGGTCTTAACCACTGAGCCATCTCTCCAGCCCGGAAAATTTGTTTTTATTTAGGGTTTTTTGTGGCTTTTTCTGTTTAAAGCTTTGGTTGGTCAGGATTTTGTATTCTGAATGCTGCTTTCATTTTTTTCCAAAAAGAAGTTATCCAGTTTGTTCCAATGTGGCTTAACTCAATACTTGTGTCTTTTCTTTTCCAGTCATCTCATGTGCACAAAAAAATTGCCACATATTTTGGGATCTTTAAAATTATCTGTTCCTGCCGGGTGTGGTGACGCATGCCTTTAATTCTAGCACTCAAGAGACAGAGGCAGGCGGATCTCTGAGTTCAAGGCCAGCCTGGTCTACAGAGAGACCCTGTCTCAAAAAGACCAAAAAAAAAATTATCTGTTCCTGTAGAAATTCTATTCAGTTGATCTTATAGGGTTAGTGTTCCTCCACCAATCATTTTCTCAAGGGAAAAATAAATCTTAGAACCTGGCCTGATGGTGCTTGCATGTAATCCCAGTATTTGGGAAGTGGAGATAGAAGGATCAGGAATCCAAGGTTATCCTCAGCTATATTAGGAGTTTGAAGGCAGTTTGGTCTGTATGAGAGCCTGTCTCAAAAAAAAAAAAAAGCCAAACACAAAGGTTAGATCAGATGTAGTGATTTATACTTGTAATCCAACACTTGGGGAAGCTGATGAAGGAGGATTTCTGTGACCTGAAAGCTAGCCTAAGCTACATGGTGACTTCTAGGCTAGCTTGAGCTATACAGCAAGACCTTGTCTCAAAAAAATAAACCAAACCCAAAATAAACAAAAAATCCTTAGGTTTTAATTATGATTGTATCAGGTTTTATAGGTAAGTATAGGAATTTTTTTTTTTTTGGTCTTTTTTGAGACAGGGTCTCTCTGTAGCTCCAGCTGTCATGGAACTCACTATGTAGACCAGGCTGGCCTTGAACTCAAGATCTGCCTGCCTCTGCCTCCCAAGTGCTGGGATTAAAGGCGTGCGCCACCATGCCTGGCCAAATGTCTTTTTTAATTTAAAAATAAAGTTTGTGTATTGTGTGCATGTATGCAAGTGCATCCATGTCCTGCAATGTTTAAGTTTTTCTTCAAACTTGTGAAGTTTATTTTTAGGTATACTTTTTATTGATATCTGGCTCAATAGGTTTTTTTGTTATATAGGATAGTTTTGTTTTAAAGAATTTTTTTTTAGGGGAAGCTGGAGATAGGAATCAGTGGTTAAGAGCACTTACTGTTCTTACAGAGGACCAGAGTTCTGTTCCTAGCACCCATGGTGACTGTAACTCTAGCTCCAGAGGATCTCTTCTGGCCTTTGAGGGTACCTCCACATACAGTCACATATGTTATATAAGCACGTGATACACATATAGGTATGAATTAAAATTAATAAATCTTTTTTTTTTCCTTTTACATTTATGTGTGTGTGTGTGTGTGTGTGTGTGTGTGTGTGTGTATGTGTGTGTCTGTGTCCCCATCCGCCTATGGAGGTTAGGGGACAACTTGGGGGAGTCATTTTCTTCCCCCAGATGAATTCTGGGGATTGAACTCAGTTCATCAGGCTTGGTGAGTTCCTTTACCTGCTGAGTCCTCTTGCTGACCATGCTGGTTTTTTTTTTTTACTTTTTTTTTCTTTTTTTTTTTTTTTAAAGATAAGGTGTCACTATGTAGCCCTGGCTGGCCTGGAACTTACTGTGTAGACCAGGAGGCCTTGAATTCACAAAGACCCACCTGTCTCTGCCTCCAAGTAGGATTAAAGGCTTGAATCACAGCCTAGCCCTTGCATTCCTTTTTGTCATCTAAGCAGAGGCTTTTTCCAGAGAAGCATTTGAATCAAGTTGTTACACTTGGGTGGGGATGGGGAGTGTAGTGGAGCATACCTGTAATTGCAACACTGTAGAGGCTGAGACAGGAGAATTGCTGAGTTCTAGGCTAATCTTGGCTACAGAGTGAGACCTTGTCTGAAACAGAACAGAACAGTTGGCATACCTGGACTTTGGCTTCCTTTTTCATTCTGTTGTTAGACCTTGTATTTCCTTTCTCAGATAACCTTATTGGCTCTACTTGAATATATCTTATTAAATTCAGTTTGGAAAGTATTTAGATTACAGATTACTTGTTTACTAGAATTACTTTGATTTTTTTTTTTTTTTAAAGCAAGATCTCATGTAGCTCAGTTTGGCCTGAATTCACTGAGGTAGCAGAGGGTGACCTTTAGTTCTTGATCCTTCTGCCTCCATCTTCCAATTCCTGGGGTTATAAAATGTGCTCATCACTATGTCTGACATTATCATCCTTTTTTCTCAGCCCCTCCTGGAATAGTACATTAATGTTCAGAACCTCTTCCCCTGCTATCTCCTCATTACGCTTTTATCTGTGTTTTAGCTTTTGCTAGTTTTTTAATCTTATTAAATATAACTTTTTATTAGATAGAACTATTCTTTTTCTTTATCAAACACTATAAGTTACTGGCAAAATACACATTTTCAGAGAAAAGGGCCTTAACTTTTGAAACCTGCCCTTTTTGGTACATGGGTATAAGATTCTGCCCAGAGAAATAGCTCATAAGCTCCAGTGTAATATTTGAAAAGTCATTTGTTTTAGATAAGACCAGGGGATGGGAGATAACTACATAAAATATGCTAAATAGTAAACTATTAAGGACAGTCTAAGAAAAACAGAAAGCACACTCCATGAAAAGTGTTTTTAAGAAGGCTTTGCTTTCTGAAAGATTGAAAGGTATTTCTCTGGAGATAGTTCTTTAGAACATTCTGTAGAACTAGCTCTTGAGGCTGACTTCTGGTTATCCTGAAGCAGATGCCTTCTTAGTTTTGGTTTATGTAGCCAGTGCTGGCTCTCTGGCATCTTCCTGTCTGTTTTCAGGAATGTAACCAGTTGCTGCACCCAATCTCCATTGCTTGAAGATCACCAGACCTTCCCCAGTTCTTCTCTCAAGAAGTGTTTATTTTCTCTGAAAAAGAATGATGTCCCTTTCCCCATTTCAGGAAGTATCCTTCTTTTTAGGCTATAGGAAAACAAAGACCAACTTTGCAGAGTAATATAGATAATAAGAGTTTTTACTATAGATGATGGTAATGATTCTTGGGGTATCTGTCTTTACTTGGTTTAGGATGCTTCTCATTCCTAGTTGTTTTCATGGTACAATTTTTTTTTTTTTTTTTTTTTTTTTTTTAAAAAAAAAAAAAATGAGACAGGGTTTCCCTGTAGCTCCAGCTGTCCTGGAACTTACTATGTAGACCAGGCTGGCCTTGAACTCACAGAGATCCGCCAGACTCTGCCTCCCGAGTGCTGGGATCAAAGGCGTGCGCTACCACACCCCGGCTTATGGTACAAATTTTAAAAGTGTTGTTTATAATCAGAGTTGTTGTGGGGTTTTTGTTGTTTGTTTTGTTTTTGAGACAGGGTCTTATGGTGTGGCTTTATCTAGGTGGCCTGAAACTTGCTTTGCAGAGCAGACTAGCTAGGAATCACGGAGATCTATCCGCCTGCCTCTACCTCCTGAGTGCTTAGATTAGAGGCATGTACCACCATGCCCCACTAAAGTACTTACTCTTGTTACATTTACTCTGAGGAAGAAACTTTAACAATAAACAACTAACATTCTGTTTGTTTGAACTTTGATTAAACAACATCTATGTGATCTGATACTCATGCCTAATGTTTTAAGGCAATCAAGAGAGTGTGGTATAAAACCCTCGCCTTTAAAATAATGCTGAAATAGGCTGGTGAGTGTGAATTTATGTGCTGCAGTTACTCGTGTTATATCAAGACTTGCCACTATTTAATTAGATAAAAGACTCATACGTATGTATATTTGATTTCAGGTGTCCCGTTTCCCAAAAACTTTATGTCTGTGGCAAAGACTATTCTGAAGCGTCTCTTTAGAGTTTACGCCCATATTTATCACCAGCACTTTGATTCTGTGATGCAGCTGCAAGAGGAGGCTCACCTCAACACCTCCTTTAAGCACTTTATTTTCTTTGTTCAGGTAGGTGAGCTATATTGATTTCTGGGCCTTGGGCTTTGACTTACTTGGACTGGTAACAATATGAATAGTATATCTTATTTACAGATATAGAACATCTAAGTACAAGCATCATTCTGCCTTCAGATTTGTTTTCTTCCCCACCTATTTTTCATTGATCTGTGTAGCAGCATAGAAAGGCAGCATCCCTGGGCTAGAGAGATGGCTCAGCAGTTAAGAGGATACTGCTCTTGCAGAGGACCTGGGTTTGATACTGAGTACCCACATCAGGCATCTCACAACTGCCTAAACTCCAGTTTGTGGGGATCTGATACCCTCTTCTGGTTTCTACAGGTACCACCTGCATACATACCAATTCATGCAGGCATGCATACATACACATAAATAAAACAAAGAAAGGAAGGCAGCATCCATATTTGGGGCTGACTGCCTTTGACTTCCCTTGGTCTCGGTTCTTGTCATCTAGGGATGTGGCCTGTTATCTTATGAGTGCTTATTTAGAATTAGAAGGTTTTTGTTTTTGTTTTTGTTTTTTTTGTCTTTTTTGAGACAGGGTCTCCTTGTAGCTCCAGCTGTCCTGGAACTCACTATGTAGACCAGGCTGGCCTTGAACTCACAAAGATCCGCCTGCCTCTGCCTCCCAATTTCTGGGATTAAAGGTGTACGCCACCACACCCAGCTAGAATTAGAAGTTTTAAAAATCAGAGTAACATTGTTTGAAAAAGATATCAAAGAATAATTTGGGCATGATGATGTCACATGTCTATAGTCTTCAGTAAGTCCTTGTTTCAGTAAAACCAGAAAAGAGGGCTGGAGAAAGGGCTCGGTGGTTAAGAGCATTCACTGCTCTTAACCCAAGTTCCATTCTCAGCACCCAGGTCAGGTGGCTCACAGCTGCCTATAACTCTTATCTCTAGGGGATTTGCTGCCCTCTTCTAGCCTGTGCAGGCGTATACCTATACATGGCATAGGTACATGGCATATACCTATACATGTAAGTAAAAATAAAATCTTTAAAAAAACAAAAAAGGGACTCTTTTTTCTTTCTTTTTCTTTAAGAGGTATGTAATTCTCTGGAAAAGTATCATTTTATAGTAGAAAATCCGGGTAGTTTTTTAGTGATTATTGTGTATTAATATCTCTGTATAGTGCAAAGGAAAATACACCATATTTAATGATGTCTTCTTTTTGAGATTGTTTTGTGCCATGTATGTTCACATTCATCTGTATAAAAGTAAAAAAGTCTACTCCTCTAGAGGTGGCCTCTATGAAAGGTTCAGTTCGTAATTTTGGGGTCATTTCTGTATTAAGTGCATTTATATATTCAAATTTGATTATAGTGTTGAACAGTGAGGATCCATACTCATAGCTACAGTTGTGTACGTACTAAACTGGTTCCCCTTTATAAGGACATGGAAAAAACTTGGCTGTTTCTGCTATACTTTCTTTTTTTTAAAAAAAAATTATTTGATGTATATGAGGTGTTATGCCTTCATGTGTGTTAAGTACACTCATTTCATGCAGTGCCTACAGAGGACAGAAGAGAGTTTTGGATCCCCTGGAACTGGAGTTACAGAGGGCAGCTAGCTGCCATATGGGTGCTGGGATTTATCAAACCAGGGTCTTCTGCAAGAACAGCCAGTGCTCTTAACTGTTGAGCCATTGCTTCAGCTCCCTGCCATGCTTTCATAACACTAAGAAGTTAAATTGGTTCGTCAGCACACACCAGCTGGGTGTCCTCTAATTCAGTTCAGTCTATGTGGAGGGAGGTAGCATCAGATCCCACAAGGTAAAGAGCTCAGTCCCACAAGTCTTCCATCCATTTCAGATACCAGTCAAAAGTAATGGGCTATCACCTCTACTTGTGACAGGTTATGTAATGTATAGTCAATCCTCCTTGAGTTTAATGTTCCTAGAGTGGCCACAGAGCTCAGGGAAACACATTTGTTGGTTTATTATAAAGGGTGCTATTGGAGTGAACAGCCAGCTGGCCAACATTTATAGGTGAGAGATGGGAGAAGGGATGTGGAGCTTCTGGGCCCCCTCAGATGAAATATGCTCTGGAGCCTCCGTGTGTTCAGCCTTTCAGAAGCTTTCTGAACCCTGTCCTTTGGGTTTGGGGGAGGGGAGTATACTTCACTACTTGGCCATGATTGATTATATCATTGGCCATTGGTGATTAGTTTACCCTTCACTCCCTCTTAGCCCCACCCCAGAGATTAGTCAGGGAGGGATCATGAATGTCCTAACACTGTAATTAATAATCATGGCTTGGCCTTTCTGGTGACCAGTCCCACCCTACTGATCTCAAGGGTCAACCAATCTTTTTTTTTTTTTTTAATATTATTTTTATTTTATGTATATGAGTATATTGCCTGTATGTAAGTGCACCCATGTCATGCAATGCCAAGGAGGTCAGAAGAGGGCTTCGGATCCCCCTGGAACTGGTGTTAAGGATGGTTTGTAGCCGCCATGTTGGTGTTGGGAATTGAACCCGGGTCCTCTGCAAGAGCAGTCAGTGCTCTTAACCCCTGAGCCATCTCTCCAGCCCCCGGGTCACCAGTCTTTTTAGCACACAGGAGACACTGTTGTTGGTCTTGAGGGTTCCAAAGATTTTAGGAGATCTTTGTCAGGAAAAAAAGGAAGACCAGCAAGTGTCATAATGTCACACCTGTGTTTTAGGTTTTATTTTTTAAAAATTGTGTGTGTATGCATGTATGTATGTGCACATGGAGGCCAGAGGTTGATATCAGGTATCTTCCTCTGTTTTTTCCACCTTGATTTTGAGACAAGATCTCTCATTGGACCTGGAGCACACAGATTCCTGTAGACTGGCTGGCCAGCAAGCTCCAGGCATTCCCTGTCTCCACCTCCCCAGCATTGTGCCTGGCTTTTTTATGTAAGTGCTGGGGATCTGAAATCATTTACCAGCTGAGCCATCTTCCCAATCCATACCTGTGTTTTAAAAAAGAGTGAAAGGGCTGGAGAGATGGCTCAGTGGTTAAGAGCACTGACTGCTCTTGCAGAGGACCCGGGTTCAAATCCTAGCACCCACATGGCGGCTACGAACCATCCTTAACTCCAGTTCCAGGGGAATCTGAAACCCTCTTCTGACGTCCGCAGCATTGCACGACACAGGTGTACTCACATACATGCAGGCAATACACTCATACACATAAAATTAATAAAGTGAAAGAATCATTTTAAGTGTTCATAGAGGTTATTTATTTATTTATTTTTTCTTTTAGATCTCAGAAAACTAGGTTTAGGACTCTGTTTTATGAACAACAAATAAAAGAGTTTCAATTTAGGTCCATTATTACATTTTATTTTTCTTCCTCTCTTTCTAGGAGTTTAATCTGATTGATAGGCGTGAGCTGGCACCTCTTCAAGAATTAATTGAGAAGCTTGGATCTAAAGACAGATAAATGTTTCTCCTAGAACACAGTTACCCTCTTGTATTATCTACTACTAGCACTCTCTTGCTGTCTGGTATAGACTAGTGATACTGACTTAAAGAAAACGGCATCAAAAGATACCCTTTGTCTGTGTCGTCAGATAAAACTGTCCAAAGGTAGGTTGGCCAAAGAGCATCAGAACAAGACCTTAAGGACACAACCAAATCAGAGGTACTGTGTGGGCCACACCTGTTATTCTTAGAGTTCTTTGTTGTAACATGATGACTAACCTGTAGTTTGTTGCTGTTGTTTTGTTCAAGAGTTTTTTCAAGTGACAACATAATGGACATTAAGAATTTTCTGCAATAATGTATTAATAAGTTTATAGAACAAATTTCTTAACAATATCAGACAATTTATTCTGCTTTGTTTTACAAATAGAAGATTTTTTTTTTAAGTTTTCTTAACATTTATAACTTCTTTATATCACTTTGGATAACCTTTTTAGTTCAAGTTTGTGTGCTGGTGTTCTAATAGATAAGAATATAGAGAGAGGCAGAGGCAAGAAAGATCTGAAGTTTGAAGTTTGAGGCTGGCCTGGGCTACATAGTGAGACTGTCTCGGGGCCGGGGGAGGGGGAAGAGGCCATGATTGCAGTTTAAATCATGAATATGTGGAATGGGATTAACCAAAGTTGTTTTTAAAGTGACTTTTTTAAACTTTATTTGGAACTACATTCACATCTATCTAAATTATTAGGAGAGTATATTATCAAATAGTTTTTATGTCTTCTAAGGGCAGTCTTATAGGCTTTTAATTTGAAATGTTTCATTCAAGTTTATTTAATACGTAGCTTTTGGCTGAGAAAAAGAAATGTTTTGTCTCAAAGGCACTATTTTCATTCATGTTGTTTTTCAGAGGCCCTGCAATTCTGGATAAGACAGTAGAAAGAGTATTCAGAGTACTTGATTGTTTTGTTTCCTAAACAATTCTGTTTTTATTGTGACTTGAAATTTAGTTTATGTATAAAGATGCACAGACTTTGTCAATAAGGATAAAACTTAAAGCCACAATGAAAAAGCTTGAGGGGTGTACATATAATATAGCTACAGATCTGTTCTGCTACCTGTTCTTTAAGAAGACAAAATAGGAGAAACAAGTTTAAAACAGTCTTCATTCTGTTAATACACAAAGGATGGATTGAACTATTGGGGTTTGGGCTTGCTTTGTTTTTGTATCAAAACTTGAAACTTTCTATTGGGATAAAAGAATCTTCTCCTTTATTGAAGAAGGTACCTGCTTTCCATTTGGCTTTTCAGATATAGTAAGCTCTGGCTGACTCTTCAGATGTATCATGGCATAAGTATCAGGAACACTTGCCCGACTGGTAGTGCTTTAGTTGATAAGCATTCTGTGTCAGAGCTCTGCTTTCACCAGCCACTTGGATGACTTTTATAAAGGTTAGATTGGATAAGGTCTTTGTTATTTATTTTTATTATCCCACTAGACTATATAGGAGAGAATTTCTTAGAAACTCCTGTTTTAAAAAACTCAGTTTCAATATGTTCTTAAGTATGCTCAGAATTTTAAAAGAATTAAATTGTCTAATTTAGACTGAAACCAAATGTCACTGAGGAATTCAAGGTAGGATAATCACTTAGGGGAGAAAGGACTACTCTCTGAAACATTCCACAACCCATGCTGTCACTGTCACAAAGGTCCAGAGGTCAGTGACTCTGCAGTCCTTTACAATCAGGAAGCAGTTTCTAGATGCCATCAAGAATGTAATTTCCCCTCAACTGAAAGTTCATTGAGGCCCCTAAGGAATGAAATTCTGTTTCTCAGGTCTATACTTTCATCGTTTCTATTGTTTCTGGTACTCTCAGATAAAAGGTTTGTCTCTTCTTTCCAAGTATTTTCAGTGATACAAATCCACTCTCCATGACTAAGCTCCAAAAGATGGGAATAAACTAAGATAATAAAGGCAGCTTATCATTGGGACATAACGCAAAAGCTTGTTGAAACTTCTAGTGTCTCTTTTCTGTCTTCCTCCCCCTCTCTTTTCCTTTTTTCCTTTTGAATGAAAAAACATTGCCAGGTTCCCAAGCCAGTCTGGCTTAACCTAAACATTGCACTGTTTACTGCTGACGTTTGTATCTGAGCTTTTATCTGCCCATTCCCAGGTCTGCCTATTCACAGCTCTTCCTCCCTTCCCCCTCAGCAAAAGTTTGTCTTCTGTCTGATCTCTGTTCCCCAGACCTGATTATAATCATTGAGTGGAAAGTGTCTACTACATTCCTGAGTTAATCCTGCAGTGTGTTAATTTTCAGGCCTTTAAGAAAAACTTGAGCAATGACACAATTTTTTTTAAATGGTCATACTTTTTATAATACAGTTTTTATATTGACAGCCAAATGTATCTATTATTCTTCTGACTAGATAAAATGACTTACCTCAGCCAGTTAGGCAGGTGTTTCTTTGACCTTAGGCTTGCAGAGCTCTAGTTCACACGCTGCTCACTGAAGATGTGAGACTGATAACAAAGGCAAGAAGAGCAGTCCTGGTGGTGTTGAGGTTTCCTGGCTATACACTTGGCCTTCCTCTGAGCAGTGAGATCATACTAGAAGTAGAGCTTCTTGGACACGATGTCATTACCTCAGAAATATAAATCAGGCCCAAAGAGTAAGAGTGTAAGCCCTAGAAGTATGTTTCTAAGCAGCCCCAATCATGGTGCTAGGACTCTCTTGCCTCCTGTGGGAGCCATACCATCAGTATGGAAGCCTGGCTGGACAGAACTCCTTCAGCAAGCATGTTCTTTCCTCCCAAGATCAGTGAGTGGGTTTGGTTTCTGCTCTTGTAGAATTCTGTCACAGAGGGAAAATAGCAATCTTTTAGTCTTCCTATTTTTCATTCAGTTTTGATATTGGGCTCCAAAAGACTTTGGGGGTATTACATGTGGCATCAGTAATTTTACTGAAGCAACTATATTGAAATTCACATGGGTTTTGTGATCAGATTGTATTTCAAACAAACATTCTGTAAATCCAAGTAGATGACCAGTCTGCTCCAGAACAGCCTTCTATGTCTGGTCTGTAGCAGAGGTGGTTTGTATAAGTTAGTTTTATTACCACCTAAAATAACTTAAAATGGTTCTCACATAAAAAATTTACATTGTTATTTTTAAATTTTAGGGCTTTATCTATTTTTCTAAGTCATTAACTATACTTTTTTAAGAAAGCATTTTGTATCTACTTTTGTAACTTCATGAGAATAAAATATATTAAAAGCAAAAATGACTGAAGTGTGTCAGCATGCTTTTATTTAAATGTGGAAATGAGATTTTCACAAGTTCTGTGGATTTGGATTACAGCTTAAATTTGGAAGGTCATCTTTGCAAGTATTAACTCTTAAGAAGGGAAAGTTCCTAAATGAAACCAAAAATAAAACTTCATTCCTCTAAGTATAGTGATAGAGAAATTAGTAGTCTCATTTTCTAGTATGCTAATCATGCACATTCCTGGGAAATGGGAGGAGGGCTGGATTTACTAATTTTCTTAACTTGAAGTCAAGTACTCAGGCATCCTTAAAACACTCCCCATGGCAAGCAGCTACTTTTTATTACTGCAGAATTATTAGCAAATTTAGTTTTAGACAAAGGTGCGTTTTAGGTTTGTTTAAAATAGGGCTGCTGGAATTGTTTCTGGTTTGTTTTGAATAGAGTTGAAAACTTAGTGTGATTAAACGTGTGTTTCTCGTTTTATATAAGGCATGGGCAAACTAGCAATCAGCCTTACTTACTGATGTGGTCTTGCCATAGAACCCAGGGTGGCCTCAAACTCAGAAATCCTCCACCTCAGCCTCTCAAGCACTATGATTACAGTTTTAAGCCATCATGATCATCTTGTTTTGTTTTTTAAGTTTCAGTAAGCTTAAAAGTGGTCACAGGGCCAACAAGATGGCTCAGAGGGTAAAGTGTTTGCTGCCAAGACTGACAACCAGAGTTTGATCCCTGGAATCCTCATGGTAGAAGCAGAGAACCATTTTTTTTTTTTTTTTAAATCAACCACCAAAATGTCATCAAACTTCATGAGAGTAGTAGGTAACCCAATAAGATTTGGGAAGGCCAGAGTTAGGCTTAGAAGCATTATAGCCAGAAACAGTGTACAAGCCATGCCTTGGACCTTTTCTAGCAGATACCCCAGTGATGTTTTCCCCTAGGTGATGACACTACTCTGCCACCACGCCTCCTTAAACACTAAATGTCTACTCTCTCTAGAGTGTATTTTCCCCAGTACCATCCTTCTTTTCTGTGCCTTGATGAAAACACAACATAGGTGCCTCTTTGGGAGATTCTAAGTCCTACAGTTCTGTCCTAGCTTCAAGGGAGGCCAGGAAGGCATTTCTAGGTCTTGGGGCTATGGAGCTCATAGGAAAAACATAGTAGGTTATCACACTTCTTTCAGAAGTCTGAGGAAGTGTGACAGTTGAGAAATACTGTAAGACGTTTTTAGGGTTTTTTTTTTTTACAAATGCTCAGACATATTCTGAGAGCTGGTATACTGCTTCTTTGGATTGAATTTTCAAAAACTAATCCTTGGGGGTGCTAGGAGGCTATATAAAATAACTGCAATTACAAATCATCTCAGTGTGGTTGGAGAGATGTCTCAGTGGATAAGAGCACTTATTCCTTGCAGAAGACCCAAGTTTGGTTCCCAGTGCCCACGTCATTCAGCTTACAACTGCCTGCAACTCCAGGTCCAGGGGATCTAGTACCTTTTGGCCTCCACAGGCACCTGCACTTACATACACAAACACATAATTAAAATAAAGGTGAGGTGTGGTGATACATACCTTGAATTCCAGCACTTGGGAGGCAGAGGCCTGCAGGCAGATCTTTATGAGATCCAGGCCATTTGGGGCTACAGGGAGACCTAGCTTCAAAAGAGCAAATCAGGCCAGGGCGTGGTGGCGCACACCTTTAATCCCAGCACTTGGGTCTTTGTGAATTCGAGGCTAGCCTGGTCTACATAGTGAGTTCCAGGACAGCTGGGGCTATAAGGAGACCCTGTCTCAAAAAGACAAAAAAAAAGAAAAGAAAAGAAAAAAATTTAAAAAAAAAGATCTTCCTGTCTCAGCTGCCATTGGAGAGCAGCAGCCATGGCTCTACCCTGTGGCTGTTGGCCACATGAACAGCCAGTCATTCACATTGGGCCTCATCAAATACCAGGTTCATGTAGGACATGATTAGGGATGTGTGTGGTTTCAGGCCCTATGAGCATCACACCATGAATCTGCTCCATGAATTAAAGGTGTCCAAGGACAAGTGGGCACTCATTCATTAAGAGGGTGGGAATGCATGTTTGTGCCAAAAAAAATCTGAGCAACATACTGGTGACCTTGAGGAAAGCTACAGTCAAGAAGGCCTGAGCCCACCTCCTGTCCTTTCAATAAAACACACACACACACACACACACACACACACACACACACACAAATCCCAGTGCAATCGGAATGGACCCTAAGTAAGGGATTTCCTGTGGTAGTTCAGATGTCAGTATCCTTAGGAAAGCTGGGAGTAGCTGGGCACACTTTTAGTCCCAGAACTTGAGAGAATTAGAAATCCAAGGTCATCCTTGCCTGCCTATCACATTGAGGCATACCTGGGCTAGATAAGACCCTAAACAAAAAACTGGAATTATAGGCCAATGTAAGTGAGGCTAAAAGAACCTTGAGCTAGAGCTGGAGAAATGACTCAGCAGTTAAGAGTACTGGCCACTCTTGCAGAAGGCCCAGGTTCAATTCCCAGTACCTACATGGTAGCTAACAACCATCTGTAACTCCATTTCCAGGAGATCCAATTCCCTCTCTGGCTTCTGTGGGCATCACATGCACATGGTGCATATAAATGCAAGCAAAACACTCATACACATAAAAATACTTTTAAAGTTAAAAAGAACCTCAAGTTTATAGTGGAATTGACATTTCCTGGGCTTGATGGCATTTCATTTTCAGTCACAACAAAGTAAAACCTTTTACTTTTGTCATTAAAACAATGAAGTTAGGTAAGTTTCTCTGAAAATTGCATTTGTGAAGCTCAAGTTGCTAATTTCTGTCAGTTCTTGCTCACCAATCACTGCCTGAATTTTTTGTCCCATGCCCTACTGGACATAACATGATTGTTACGGTTTGGATGTGAAGTGCTCCTTACTGGCTCGTGTATTCGAACACTTGGTTCCCAGCTGGTGGCAGTTTTGGAGGTGGTGGAACCTTTGGGAGACGGGGCTCAGATAGGGGAAGTAGTTTGCTGGGGGGAGTAGGCCTTGAGGTCTATCTCCCTTCCCCATACTTCCTGTCCTATCTCTGCTTCAGCATCTGCCCAGCTGTGAGCAAGCTCCCATTGCTCAGATAGTGAGCTTCTCCCACTGCCAAGATCTTTTCTGCAGCGATGGATTTTATCCCTTATACTGAGCCAAAAACCTTTCCCTCAAGATTCTTGTCTGGTATTTGGTCACAGCGATGAGAAAAGTAACTAATGCAGTGACTACAGCAGGGTCCTGTCCTCGTGGAACTCAGACAAGTGGACACGGACACAGTGATCGCTCTGAAGGGTTAGAAGTTATATACAAGGTTATGTACAAGTTGCCAGCAGTACTTACTCTGTGGAGTGGTCAGTGGTGAGCCCTCAAAGAGACAAAGCTGAAGTGGCTTAGAAGATGAACAGTTGTATAACCAAGCTCATGACAGAGCTTGTGCAGGAAGTTCTGGAACAGTCCTTCAGGGTAGATTGCAGCGGTAGGATGGGGTTAAGTTGTATGAAAAAAGTTAAGCTATTTCCTGTGGGTGATGGGAAGTCTGAAGGATTTTAGGTAGTAAATGTTTTCCTTTCTGAAGGTTTGAACAGTCTGATGGAAACTGAAGATGCAGGGTAGAGAACCAATAGATCAAAGTCACAGTATAATTGTCATGTGGAAGAGGATTGAGTACAAGCAAAGGCACCACTTAGAATAAAGGAAAGGAGGTCTACAAATAAAAACCTGTGAACCTGGATCATTTGGCTTCAAGTGACAAACTACTGAACTGAATACTCATTTCCAGGAGTGCTGGCTTCCAGCAGCACAGGCATAGTCCAGTGTCTATCTCCGCTTAGCTCTGCTTTCTTCTGTGTCTGCTTCATTACAAAGCTGTGCCAACTTGGTGGCAAAGCTGGTTGCCAACAACTCCAGCTTTCCTCAAGCTTAATAACACATTGGAAAAAGATCCTTCCTTCAGTTCCAGCCAAGCCCTTGGACCCATCTCTAAATGGGCTGGTTCAGATTAAATGACCAATCTTAAACCAGTCACACTGTAGTCAGTCAGACCTGCACCTCATCCGAACATGTGGTTTGGAGAGCAAAGAGTGGTTCACCACTGTACCACTATAAAACATTTTTTGGCAGTTTTAATTGTATTCTTGACATAAATGAAGAAAACGGAAAAGTTAGCAAATTATCCCTAATTACACTAACCATAATTTAAAAAATTTATGTGTATGAGCGTATTGCCTACATGTAAGTGTCCACAGAGGTCAGAAGAGGGTGGTGGGATCCCCTGGAACTGGGGTTATGGTTAGCCTGCCTTGTGGATGCTCAGAATTGTACCTGAATCCTCTGGAAGAGTAGTCAGTGCTCTTAACCACTGAGCCATTTCTCCAGCCCTAACCATAATTTTAAAGGAATTAAGCAGAAACTGACTCAAGCAATCCGAAGGAGGTATCAGATGAAAGCTGGAATACAGGAGTCAATATTGGATTGAATGAGCACATTTTTGGTCAAACACTTTAAAGAATAAATGTGGGTCCAATCCATGCAGAAGGTACTTGCATAAGTCCAAATGCAAAGGCAAAAACTGGTAAATCCAGCAGGCTACACCAGACTGCAGACTGCAAACAAAGGACCAGCTTGAGGAAGAAAGGACATGGCCAAATTTCCACCTTGACTTTACTGATGGTTACCAGCCCTCATGGCCCCTCATGGCATCAGTTTCTATGACATGCTCAGGACTCCCCAAGGAGGTCTCCTAATCTTTCTCCCCCTTTGGTGGTTATTTTTTGTTGTTTGTTCTGTTTTGTTTTTTTAGATAGGATTGAGATCTACACAGCCCTGTCTAGCCTAGAACTCCTTGTACACCAGGCTGGCCTCAAACTCAGATCATCTGCCTCTGCCTCCCAGATACCACCATTATAAAGGCAGGCCGAGCTGAATTTGTTTTTTTTCTGGGGGGGCGGGGTGCTGGGACAAGGTTTTATAGCCCAAACTGATCCAAAACTCACTCTAAACCAAGTTGGCCTCGAGCTCACACAATTTTTCTGCCTCAGTTTCCTGTGGCTCCTCAAACTCCTCAGTACTCTCCTACCTCATCCCATCACAGCTTGGCCTCTGCCGCTGCACACACCCCTCCTCACCTGTCCAATTTCAACCCTAACCTTTCCTGCTTCCCAAAGCCAGAGCCATCCTCCTCGAGTACAAACCTGAGCGGCCTCCCTTGGGGAGCCCTTCAGGAGCTCCCCCACCCCACCCCCCGCGCGGACGAAGCTGAGCTCCTGGGCTCACCGGCCACCTTGGGAGCAGTGGGAAGGATGCCTCCCCAGTCTTGCGCTGGGGTCAGGGGTGAGGAGACCTTGCAGGTGAAGCGGCTCCAGGAGGCTGTTCCTGGCCGACTGGAAGGCCTGGCGACGCCGCGGGACGGTCGCGGCCTCCGGGCGGCAGGGGGCGGCATCGTCCTGGACTGCAGCTTTCGGTCTCGGTCCCCGCGTCTTTTCGGCCGCACGGCGATCTCGGCTGTGGGCCGCGTCGGCCCGGTATGGCGGCGTGGGGCCCGGTGGCGGCAGCGCCTCTGCTCCGCGGGAGCCGCGGGGTGAGCCGATGGGGCCGGGGCGGAGCTGCGGGGGGCCGAGGTGGGAGGCCTGGCAGGGCCGGGAGGCCCCTTCCCTGTGCTCATTCATTCGCTCCTGCCCCCTCTCCGTGGCAGCGGGGTGCTGGGGGTACCGGGCTGAAGAGCGGAGCGGTAGGACCGGGGGACTGTCACGGAAGCAGTCACGACCTAGCGAAGGCGGGAAAGAAATGCCGTCCTGAGTAGCGGAAAACAAGCGTCCTGGGTCGGAGTCCAGGCGTTGGTACGGGCACTTTGGTGGCCGGGCCTCTGACCTTGACCCTCCAAAGCCGCAGCCGTTGTAGAAACCCAAAGACACGTGCTCGGCCCCCTTCCCCTCCGCGAGCTCTCCCAATCCTCGCACCCCTTTTGGTGTTTGAGACTGGGTCTCACTAAACAGCTCAGGCTGGCCTGGAACTCATGACCGACCCTACCTCAGCCTCCTGAGTCATGGGTAACCGGCTTGAGCCACTATGCCTGACTCTTTCTCCCTTTTCTAACTCCTTTGCCTGATTCTCCTCATCCGTTTCTTTCATTTTTTTATTCGCACTTGTCTGCTGGCCTTGAAAAATCTGCCTACCCGGGTCTACAAGGTGAGGAGTTCTGCTCCAGGGACTGTCAGCGTGGGCAGTGGTCATCTAGCGTTTTGTAAGTCTATTAACAGACTTCTCTGAGGATTCTGAGGTGCTAGCCTCCGGCCTTGGTGATTTTACCATTCTGTCTGCCTTTGCTGCCCACAAGCAGCCCCATGCCCTAACCTTGCAGTCCCAACCCAGGCTCACAGCCTCATGGTTCTGTACCTTGGTACAGCACACAGACCTTCTAACTCCAAGCCTTTTGTCGGGCCTGTGCTTCAGCCATCTGACTCCTTTGCCTGTGTCCACTGGGCACAAACCCCTAATCTACTCATTGCTTCAGAGGGCCTCCCTTGGGGTCAGCTCTGGGCTACTGCTTTAGAATAACTGATTCCATCTTGGCCTTTAAGACCAGTTTATGTCTAGAGGACTGGGGAGGAGTTGGTAAAGTGCTTGCAAGGATCTGAGTTCAATCCCTAGAACCCAGATAGCATCCATGGGGATCTAACATCCTCTCTGTACTCCCAGGACACTGCACTCATGTGCACAAACCCAAACTCAGACACATAATTAAAAATAAAATATCTTTTTGAGACAGGATCTTACTATGTAGTCCTGGATGGCCTGGAACTCACTATGTAGACCCTCAGATCCACTTGCCTCTGCCTTTGGCATGCTGGGATTAAAGGCATGATCCACTACGTCCTGCAAACAAAAACAAACAAACAAAAACCAAAAAAAAAAAGGTGGAGTGGTATACATTTATAATCCCAGTGTTGGAGAGGTGAAGACTGGTAGATTCCTGGGGGCTTGCCAGACAGCCAGCTTAGCCTACTTGGTGAGCTCCAATCCCAAGAGAAACCATGTATCAAAAAACAAGGTGAATTCCCTAAGGAACAACAGCAGATCTTGCCCTCTGGACCACATATACACATGCACAAATGTGTACTTGCACACATAAATATGTATCTCAAAGAGTCAGTGCACAGTCTTTAAGAATCTGTAAGAGAACCCAACTCAGGGCTGGAGTAATGCCTTAGTGATAAAGGATACTTGCTGCTCTTGCAGAAGACATGGGTTTAGTTCCCAGCACCCACATGGTGCCTCACAGCCATCTGTAACTCCAGTTCCAGGTGATCTGACATACCCTCTGGCCTCCTCAGGCACTGCACATGCATGGTGCACATACATATAGGAAGACACTCATACACATAAAAATAATAAATAAAAAAATTTAAAAGACTGCACCCTGCTCTGGGCCTTCAGGAAAGACCGAGATGAGGGAAGACTGAGGTGGGTCTGGATTGGGTACCTTCAGCACCAGCACACACTAACAGACCTAATGTTCTTCTACCTGCCTCCCCACCTCAGCAGAGACCAGCGCTATGTCATCTGGCAATACCACAGACCTCCTCTTTGTTGTCACAGCTCCCACTTCTGCACTGTGTACATCGAATGTTTGCCTCCCAGACTGAGGGGGAGCTCAATATCACCCATGTTCTCAAAGAAAAGTTTCCTCGAGCCACGGCTATCAAAGTCACCGACATTTCAGGTAAAGCTTTTTCCCACCCTTCCCACAGAGCTTTGGTGAGGTTTTGGATTTTGCCTGGGGAGAGACTGAGGTCAAGAGGCTGGTAGGAAGGAACTTGCCACAGTGACTTTTTGGTATGTGTTGCTTTGGGCCAGGTGGAGGTGGGGACTCAGAAACATTAGAAGGAAACCATAGGTTGCCAGTCTGGCCCTGTTTGGACGAGTTTCCTTGTGTTAGATCACTGAGACTACCCCTGTAGAGGGCACCAGCCACACTTTATGTCTTATCTAGTACCTCACTAATCTAAATTCAGAGACCCCTCCTCTCTAAGCTTAGAGACCCTCTAAAGTCTCTATATAATTTCCTTTGTTTCAGTTCAATCTCTACCATATTCCAACTTGCCCTGCTGTGAGTGGCTAGTGTTATAAAAGGCCCTGATTTCCTGAAATATGTCTCAGTGCCTGTCTGTATGGAACCAGAACTCCATCCAGGTTTTCCTTTGTTATCTAACACCTCTTAGCTACCCAGAGCCCAGGACCATACTCTCTCATTGCAAGATGGGCCTTGCTCTGATTCCCCCATATTCTTCTGACACCCTTCAATGGCAGGGCTAGAATGAGCCCAAGATAGGTTTTGTCATCTACTTTATCAGGAGACAAGCCCAGAGAGGCCAAAGGACCTTCGCAGATACTCCAGGAAGTAAGCAGGAGAACCAAATGCAGAACCAGGACCTTGAAGACTGCAAGCCCAGCCACCAGCCTAGCCTGGCCCTGCTGTCCTCAGGCAGCCCCTGCACTTTTGAATTTCTGGCTGGCTCTGTGTCAGGACCAGATTGGGGACACAGCTTCTGCACCCAAAGCAGGAGGAGGATGAATTCCCCTTTCCAGATATACTCAGGGAGGAACATAGATGCCAGCAGCTAGATAGGAGCCAACACACAGCTCCATGCCTAGAGGACCTGCACAAAGACTCACTGGCTTCTCCAGAGAGCACATTTCATGGGTCAAGAGACTGTTAAAAAATATCTCTTATTGGGATGGGATATAGCTCAGTTGATAGAGTGCTTGCGTAGCATGCAAGGAGCCATGGGCTTGATCCCTAGCACCATATAAAACTAAGCAAGTATGCTGTTGCACATTTGTAATCCCCGTGCTCAGCAAGTATGGTTCAAGGCAATTCTTGACTACCTGGAGAGTTTGAAGCCAACATGGGCTATTGTGAGACCCTGCCTCAACAAAACAAAACAAAAAAGAAGTGTATTTGGTGTCAGGTGAGGGCTCCATGGGTGTCTCCAGGCAATGCTAAGACCTTGATCTCACCAGCTCTGGCAGAAATGGAACTTGACCCTAAGTAAAGCTTTGCCCAGTTCTGGACAGAGTGCAGAAAGTCAGTGATAAGTTGGATTTAACCATGGATCCTGGCTTATAACTCCCCGATGCAGTCAAGAGAAACAAGCCCAAGTTGAACCATAGAAACTGTAATCTTCTCCCACCTTTCTGCCTTGGAGCTCACCATAGAAACATTGTCTGATAAGACCCTTATCTTAAAAAGGGTCCTGCTCCATACCCTGCAGAGAGAGGTGCTGAACAGAGCAGTCAAGGAGAATCTGGACAGATAGGCCTTGCTGGGTTCCCATTCATCTGTCACATGCGGCAAAGTCACCAGAGAAACCCAGGGTTTAGGGCTGGTGAGATGGCTGGTAAAGGTGCTTGCTGCCAAGCCTGACCACCTAAGCTAGTTGGTTTCCTGGAACCCACATAAAATGGAAGGAGAGGGGCTGGAGCTATGTCTCAGAGATTTAGACAGAGAACCCCAGTCCGGTTCCCAGCACCCACATGGTGGCTAACAACCATCTATAACTCCAGTTCCAGGTGTTCTGATGCCCTCTTCTGGCCTCCTCAGGCATTGTATGCATGGGTACACTTACATGCAGACAAAACATGCATGCACATAAAATGCAAATAAATGAACAAAAGTTGCATTTGAAAAGGGGAATGAAGCCGGGCCTGGTGGTGCACGCCTTTAATCCCAGCACTCCGGAGGCAGAGGCAGGTGGATCCTTGTGAGTTCAAGGCCAGCCTGATCTACATAGTGAGTTCAGGTCAGCTGGGACTACAAGGAGACCCTGTCTCAAAAAGACAAAAGTGAAAAAAAAAGGGGAATGAGAGAACCGACTGTGCAGAATTGTCCTCTCACAGCACACATGCACACATACAAAATAAGTGTAAAAGTTCTTTATGGGGCTGGAGGGATGGCTCAGAGGTTAAGAACATTGACTGTTCTTGCAGAAGACCCGGGTTCAAACCCAGCACCCACATGGCACCTAACAACTGTCCATAACTCCAGTTCCAGGGGATCCAACAGCCTCTCCTCTCTGTCTTCTGTGGGCATTGCCTGACATGGGTGCACTTACCTACATGCAGGCAATATAGGCATACACATAAAATAAAAATAATAAATAAAATCTTTTTTAAAAGTTCTTTATATACAGATTCAAAAAAAAAAAAAGAAAGAAAGCCCAGGATTCAGACACCATCTTGGTGGCTGGACATGTAGGGGCTGCTGAAGGATGGGACCTGGAGGGTGCCTGGTAGCCCTGTGCCCCTCTCCCAGACCTTACCAGGCAACTCTCCTCATCTGTATCCTTTGAAGTATTCTTTACAGTAAGCTAGTAAATTACATATTTCCCTGGATTCTGTGAGCCACTTGAGCAAATGAATTGGATATGAAGGAAGAACTGGTTGTGGCAATCTGGAGCACTGATCAAACAACTGGGGTTTGCCACCTGTATCTGAAACCAGCCGAACTGGATAAGAGGCCAATTCTAGTGTGGCAGGGTAGAGTATCAGAACCAAAGAACATTCAACTGGGGGCCTGCTGCTGTAGGGTTGACTGCTTGCTTACTAGAGAGAAGAATTCATGGCCACACAAGGGCCAGTGTTGGGAACCTGTAGGAGCAACTGAATTTGAGAAATTTTCTTTTCTGTGATCACTGAGGTCAGGAGCCTGGGTGTAACTAGAACTGACTCAGAATGCATCACAAAAGAAACAAAGTATCTGTTGAGCAGATGACACTTCTAAGGTGGCCACAGTGCTCCTATTTACTAAGAGGGAATTCTCTACCTCCCATTTCCCAGGTCTTTTGCCTTACTTTTCTGCCCATACATGACAGTCCTGGATAACACAGAGGCCTTGCAAAAAGAGCACATGTGGGTCAAGGCTGCCTGCAGGATTGAGTGCTCAGATTGGAAACCATGATTTATATTCACACATTTTAGTATTTCTCTTTGGGGCTGAGCCCCAATATCCCAGCTTGGGATTATTCAGTACTCCAAGGAATACTTAATAACATGGGCTTATGGTACCATGAGACGTTACCGAAACACCTTTGTCTCATGTTTGTCACAGGAGGCTGTGGGGCAATGTATGAAATTACAATTGAATCAGAAGAATTTAAGGAGAAGAGGACTGTCCAACAACACCAGATGGTCAATCAGGTCAGTCACATACTGCTGGTCTTTAGCACCTGAGGGAACACCAGTGGGCATGTGGTTATTACTGTCAGTCCCAGGAAAGAATAATGCAGAACAGGACTCAGGATCCCAGAAACAAAATCTGGGACTCAGTGGACTTGAAATTGTGTAAACAAATGCAGATTTCCTTCCAAATAGAAAATAAGCCACCTAATAGTTATTTTATAATTCCTCGTATAATGCTACTGATTTTCACTGGTTTTGTTGTTGTATGAGTTTCTGTTTTGTTTTAAAAACAGGGCCTCAAAATTACTATGTAGGTAAGGATGAGGGTTCAACTTCTCTCCTATCTCCACCACCCAAGTGCTGAGATTCCAGGTGTACATCACCATACCTGGTTTCTGTGGTTCTGGGATCAAACCCAGGGCTTTGTGCATGCTAAGAGGAACACTCTAACAGATAAACTATGTCCCCAGCCTGGTTTGGGTTTTTTTCTTTTTTGAGACAGGGTCTCCTTGTAGCCCCAGCTGTCCTGGAACTCACTATGTAGACCAGGTTGGCCTCAAACTCACAAAGATCCACCTGCCTCTGCCTCCCAAGTACTGAGATTAAAGGCATGTGCCACCACGCCCAGCAGTGGTTTGGGTATTTTTTAAGACTAGATCTCATGTAGTCAGACTGGCCTTGAACTTACTGTATAGCTGAGAATGACTTTGAGCTTTTTTTTTTCTAATTTATTTATTTTTATTTTATGTGTATGAATGTTATGTCTGTATGGTATAAGTGCACCCGTGTCATGCAGTGTCTACGGAGGAAAGAAGAGGGCATTGGATCCCCTGGAACTGGAGTTACAAGATGGTTGTTAGCCACCATATGGGTGTTGGGATTCCAATCCAGCTCTTCTGCAAAAACAGCCAGTGCTCTTAACTTCTGAGCCATCTCTCTAGCCTGACTTTTGAACTTCTGATTTGCCTGCTTCCACCTCCCAAGTGCTGAGTTTGTAGCCACCAAGACTAGTTTCTATGGTGCAAGGAATGGAATCCAGGGCTCCCTGCATGCCAGGCAAGCACCCTACCAACTGAACTATATCTCCAACCTTTTGTCTTTTTGAGACAGGGTCTCCCTGTAGTCCCAGCTGGCCTGGAACTCACTATGTAGACCAGACTGGCCTCGATCTCAATCTTGATCTCACAGAGGTCTGTCTGCCTCTGCACCCTGAGTGCATGCACCATCATGCCTGGCTTGTTGCTGCTTTTTAAGATAGACTCTCTATCTGAAGTCCCGGCTTGCCTGGAACTCATAATCTCCAGCCTCAGCCTCCTTGCAGCAGGGATTACAGGTGTGTTCCACCATGCCCAGTCCAATCAATGTTTACTGTTGTCACATATTGAATAGTATTTGTAAGCATTTTTCAGTGCCAAAAGATATGTTTTTGTAGATCTCTTTTTCTGTCTTTTTCTCTCTCTGTGTATGTGTATAGGTCAGAGGACAGCTTTTGAGGGTCATTTCTTGCCTTCCACTTTGTTTCTTTTTTGGTGTTTCTGCTGAGTACTCTCAGTCCTATGAGCTTCTGGGTGGTACTCCTGTCTTCACCTTCCATCTCACCATAGGAGTGCTGCTGGGATTACAAGCAAGCGTGTACTACCACATCTAGCTTTTTTACCTGGGTTCTGCGGATAAAACTCAGGTCATCAGGCTTGCATGGCAAGCTTTCTTATGCAATGAGCTGGATGACCCAATTTGGGGATTTTTTTTTTTTTTTTTTTTTTTTTTAAAAAAAAAAAAAAAAAAAAAAAAAAAAGAGGACGATAAATCTTTCACTGTGATATATCAAAATAATATGTAGATCAGGCTATCCTCAATGTCACAGAGATCCACCTGCCTCTTCTTTCCAAATGCTGGGATTAAAGACATGCGCCACCATGCCCAGCTCAATTTGGAAATTTTTAAAAGCCTCTCTTTAGAACTGCTCTCAGATGGATAAATTGATGAGTAACATGACTGAGAATGGCTTTGGCTGCCCCAGACCCCAGGACAGAGCAGTTAGGACTAGCGCATTGTATTGAATTAGTTGAAGGCCTGTTTATGCCTCCTCCGTGGATGAATAAATTCCTTAATTAGAGCATATACCAGCTTGATGTTGGGCCTGTGCCTCTAAAATCACCTTTTTTGGCAGCTGTGTTTGATGTTACCCTCAAAGGTTTTGTGGGCTGCCAGCTAGTTCGGCTTTTGTAAAACACAACTCTGGCCATGAAGGTCTCCTCAGTGAACCCCTCTACCTGGGGTTCATACATCCTATATTTATCATCCTTGCAGGTAGTAAGGAGGGCTGGCCTGTGTTTGTTGACTGGCTTATAGACAGTATTTAGTGCCTGAAAGGTGCTCCACTTTGGAGAATCCACATTGATGTGCTTTTTATTTTTTAGATTTTTGAGACAGGGTCTCACTCTGTAGCTCAGGCTGGTCTTGTACTTTCAGCAGTCCTCCTGCCTTAGCCTTCCAAATACTGGGATTATAGGTTTGAGCCACCATGCCCAGCTTGTTGGTGGTTACTGCCTTGCTTACTCTTTGAGGCCATTCCTGTTTTCCCACCTACCTAGTACCAGCCCATGACAGGGAGCAAATGAGGGAGGAGGAACAAGGGAAGCTCCTGAGCCTGACCTTCAGCTGTGTAGAGATCTGATAGCCACAGCATGTGATTAGGGTGCTAACGCAGGTGTCTTGCTGTATGGTGTGTTCATGGTCATTGTTCCATGATGAAGTTTGGAAATATTGGTTATAGTCATGTGGGAGGAATAAAAATGAGCACTGTTTAGGAGCAGGTCTGCTGGCTTGTGGGAGTTGGAGCTGAGACCTGGAGTTGCCCTGTTCAGGGGAGGTGTTGGGAATGAAGGTTTGGACAGGCACTGACCTGGAAGGAGACAAGCCTTGGAGTGAGTGACCAGAATCCACTGTCCAAGACCTGCTGGCCACATCTGAGGTCTTATCAGGAGCAGGTTGGGAGTGAGATTGGAACTCCATGCAGCTCATGGGATGCCTAGCCATCAGTGGGGTCTGGGCTAAGGGTGAAGCTTTTCCTGTTGTCCTGCCTGGTCACCCTTGGCACCATGAAATCAAACTTGTAGCCAGCCATGGCTATACATCTTTAACCTCAAGCTCTCAGGAGGCAGAGGCAGGTGGATGTCTGTGAGTTTGACCGGGCCAGCCTGGTTTACATAGAGAGGCCAGCCAAGGCTATATAGTGAGACCCTGTGACCCTGTCTCAGAAAAAAAAAAAAAAATCAGACTGTAAGACATGGCTCAAAAGGGAACCTGACCCATATGAGACTCAGTTAGATCCCTTCCCCAGTGTCTCAAACAGCCCCTACTGACTCCCCTGGGATAGCATCCTGGAAATTTATAAAGGGATTGGGGAGATAGCTTAGAAGGTAAAGTGCTTGCTGCATAAGTGCGAGGACCTGAGTTTGGATCCCCAGAACCCACATAGAGCTCAGTGCTAGGGTTAGAATTGTGTGACCACACCTGGCTTTTATGTCAGAGCTGAGTGGGCATATTGGCCCACCTATAAGTCCTGCACCTGGAAGGCGGAGGTAGGAGCAAGCTCGCTAGCCACACTAGCCAGAACAGCAAGCTCTCTTTTCAGTGATAGATTCTACCTCAATATATAAGGAGGAAAGCAATCCAGGAATATATGCAATGTCAGTCTTGGGCCTCCACATACATATGCACACATATGCACCTTCATGCATGTGAAAACATATACATGCATACACACCATACGTACATATGCAAAAAATTGTAAAGAAAAAATTGCTTAAATAAAATGTACAAAATCTCCTTCGGATATAGAACTACATAAAATACTCTGTGATCCATATAAGATACAAAGAAATGACAACACTCTCTTCCTCAGGCACTAAAAGAAGAAATCAAGGGGATGCACGGCCTGCGGATATTCACCTCTGTCCCCAAATGCTGATTATACCTGGCTATGACACTGTTGCCTGAACCCTTGAGTGCACTTTGCTGACAGCGATATTCCAGACAATTCTTGTAAAAATTATCTATTTTTGTTCATAGACATTTTCTATAATACAATAATAAGAGATGTTATCTATTAAGATGTTAATTAAAGACCACAGATACTTAATGCTTAAAATGGGGTCAGGAGTGATCCTTCAAGTTCATTATTTCAGAAGTAACGATCCTTTGTCTACAGCATGCACATCTGTGGACTGTTCTATCCCACTTCTGGACACAGAATGAAGGCCAGAATTTTGATCTTATGAAGAGGTTTTTTTTTTTTTCTTTTTCCTTCAGTATTTTAAAATTTTTTTTTTAATTTATTTTTAAGCCGGGTGTGGTGGCGCACACCTTTAATCCCAGCACTTGGGAGGCAGAGGCAGGTGGATCTCTGTGAGTTCAAGGCCAGCCTGGTCTACAAAGTGAGTTCCAGGACAGCTGGGGCTACAGGGAGACCCTGTCTCAAAAAGACCCCCCCAAAAATTTATTTTTATTTTACGTATATGAGTAGTTTGCCTCCGTGTATGTAAGTGCACCATTTATATGCAATGCCTGCGGAGGTCAGAAGATAGTGTCAGATCCCCTGGAATAGGAGTTATGAATAGTTGTTCATATTGGTGCTGGGAACTAAACCCAGGTCCTTTGCAAGAGCAGCCAGTGTTCTTAACCACTGAGCCAATTCTTCAGCCCCTATGAAGAGGTTTAAAGAGCTTTTCCTTTCTGTGATGATTTGAATGAGAATGTCCCTCATAGGCTCCAAGTATTTGGACATTTTGTCCCCAGTTGGTAGCACGGTTTTGGAAGATCATAGAAAGTGTGGCCATTGCCGGGTGTGGTGGCACACACCTGTAGTCCCAGCACTTGGGAGGCAGAGGCAGGTGGATCTCTGTGAGTTCAAGGCTAGCCTGGTCTACATAGTTTCAGGACAGCTGGGGCCACAGGGAGACCCTGCTTCAAAAAAACCAAAAAAAAAAAAAAAGTGTGGCCATGCTGGAGAAAGCACATCATTGGGTTCACTGGGGTGGGCTTAGAGAGTTATTAAGCCTTGCCGGATCTCCCGTTGCTCTCTTCCTTCCTGTGCCTGCTTAAAGATGTGAGAGCTTAGCTTCTGCTCCTCCTCCAGCCACCTCTGCTGCCATGCCTCCCCTCCCTGACATGATGGACTCTTGCTCTTGGAAGCTCAAATAAACTCTTCCTTCTATAAGTTGCTTTGGTCAATGTTTCTATCACTGCAACAGAAAAGGAACTAAGACAGTACTTGGTACCAGAGAGTGGGCAGTTGGCTGTGAAGAACCTGACCATGTGGGGTTTTGGAGGAATGTGGAAGACTTTGGAAGTTTGGGCTAGAAAAGTGATTGATTGCTATATGCAGAGCTTAATAGGCCTGTCTAGTAAGCACCTAGAAGAAAGTAGTGCTGAAAACAAAGTAGTTCCAGAGGGAAATAAGGACTTAAGCAGAAATTGGGATATTTTAGCAAACTGCCTGAGGCTGTTGAAAAGCAATGGTCCAATGATGATATTTCAAGGCAACCTAATATAGAAATGGTGGCAGGGCTATTAATGGTGAATATTATGCAGATCTGCAGTGAAAAAGAGCAAATGGGGCAGAAAGAAATTCAGAATGTACAGTTTGGATTGAAAAAGAGCACTAGGAAGATTAATGTTGGAACCATGGCATGTGCTGAAGGTGAGGATCCCTTTGGTAGATTAAAGTGATTATGGAGAGGCCTAGGGATTTGCACTTAACAATAGAGTGCCTCCAGGATAAGACCACACCCAGCTAAGCCTCCAATTTGTGAAAGGAAAATCTAAAGTGGATGAAGCAGGCTAGGGTCCATCCCAAACTTGCAGCCAAACTTGGTAGTGTCCTTCATCTGGCAGGATTTAGAGACATGAAAGATGTAAGAGTGAAGGGGCCATCGGTTCTTCCTCCAAGGTTTCAGAGAGCTGCTGAGGCCAGGTAGTGTGCAGCAGGGGTTCCTCTGCATAGAGAAGGCCCTCATAGGCCATTGTGTGAAGCTGTGAAGGCAAAGCCTGGCTGGCAGTGGAGACCCCAAGAAGACATTTGTGATGCCAGAGCTGTGAGGCATCTGCCAAGAAGACCTGCATACAGGAAGTGGCACCAGCCCAAGAGAGAGATGCATGTTGCATGCAGCAAAGCTAGAGAGGCTGAGCCATCTAAGCCCTTTGGAAGTAAAGTCCCAGAAGTCTAATGTGGAGCTACTGGATTTGGTGTTAGCACTGCTGGTTTTCTGTCTTGTTTTGGTCCAGTATTTCCTCACTATGTCTATATTCTTTCCTTTTGGAATGGAAATGTGTATTTGGTTCCACTGTTTGTTGGGAGTATGTAATTTGTCTTGATTTTACAGGGGCTTACATTTAAAATATTGTCCTGCACCTCAAAAGAGACTTTGGACTATGAACTTTAGTATTGAGACTAGTAAAGACTATGGGGACTTTTAAGGATAGACTAAATGCATTTAGCATTTTATATTGTCATGAGCCTGTAGGGGGCCAGGGAGTGGAATATGGTACTTTGAATGAGAATGTCCCTGATAGGCTCCAAGTGTTTGGACATTTTGTCCCCAGTTGGTGGTGCTGTTTTGGGAGGTCTTAGAAGGTATGGCCATGCTGGAGGAAGTACGTCACTGGGGACGGGCTTAGAGAGTAATTGAGCCTTGCTGGCTCTCAAGTTGCTCTCTTGCTTCCTGTGCCTGCTTGATGTGAGAGCTTAGCTTCCACTCCTCCTCCAGCCACCTCTGCCACCATGCCTCCCCACCATGATGGACTCTTACCCCTTGGAACCATAAGCTCAAATAAACTCTTCTATAAGTTGATTTGGTCAATGTTTCTATCACAGCAACAGAAAAGTAACTAATACACCTTCCAAACTTCTACCAAGAATGACAAGGGACCCTCAGTTTCTGATACAGTGAAGAGGATCTGAGGATGTGTGGGTGTCTAGATCTGGGTTTGAAGGCCCCATATCTTCTGCATTTGGTTGGAGGCTCAGCCTGCCTCCTTGGATAGGAGCTGAGAGTCTGTGTTTTCTCAGTCTGCCTTGCAACTAAGTCATCAGCCTCAACTTAGCTAGTTGCACAGACCTACCATGGACGCTGGCAGTAAGTGATTTGGAGAAGTACAGCCATTCGTTCCTGGCACTAGGACTTCAAAGTGTGGGCTTCTGGGTGGTGGCTCTGGTGGCTGCCAAGACAGTGTCATCACTGTGTCTCTGAGTCCATGATGGTAGGCCAAGGGTCTGTGTTTATAGTGGGATTGGCCTCTGGTCTCAGGGCCTGCCTTATTCCTGCTGGTTTTCAGAGGGGGGCTCACCAATGTTTCAAAAAACTCTGTGGCCAACCCCATATCCTTTCTCTAAGGTTTACAAAAGTCTGCTCAGTGTCTGTTAAAAGCAGCAGAGATTCCTGCAGGGTTAACTAGCCCCTACAGTGTGGCTCCCACCTTTCTACTGAAATTCTTTTTTTAAAAAAAAAATTCTTTATGTGTGTATGTGTGTGTGCATATACACATGTGCTTGTGTGTACACACATGTAGGTGCAATGGCGCACATGTGGAGATCAGGAGACAACTTGTAGGAGTCAGTTCTCTTTCCATCATGTGGGTCCCAGGGATTGACCTCAGGTCATCTGGCTTGGTGATAAGCCTTTTACCCACTGAGTCATCTCACTGGTCCTGAACAGCTTTCTGAGTGGTCGCCAATTGCCACGTCCACTATTTCTTGTCCTCTCTTGGTCACAGTGATGGTGGAGGTTGGCCATCTATCCTTTCTCAAAGTTGACATGGAACTAGGGTTGTCATCAGTCACTGTCAATTCTGAAGCTCCCTGTAGGACCCCAGATTTTTTAAGACAGCACAAATTTCAAGCACTCTTGTTATATACTGTGGCATATTCTGTCTACATTGTGAGACTAGAGGGGTTGATACCCTGCAAAGCTAGAACTTCCTTTCACATAGGATTGTCACTCAGTCTTACAAGTGCTGAGAGAACACAGAAGAAAGAGTATTGCATCCAAGGGCCCAAGACACCTCTGAATGGTTAGGTGTGGAGAAGACAACTTCCAGGTGAGGAAACACCTAGGACCTGAGCCCCAGAGACCAGAGAACGCAGAGAGACCTCCAAATTAGATCCCTGTCAGTTTCTCATGTGGAACCTAACTATATGCCTTTTAAGGGATCTGCTTCTGGTGAGTAGATGAAGGGGAGGTGAAATGGGCAGTTTGAAAGACAAAGTCTTACAAATCTTGTGACTTCATCCTGCCCTTACCCTGGGTTGCTGGCTCCATGGAGAGGTAACTGTCCTGTTATAAGGATACCCAAGGAGCCTGGGGACAGGACTGTGTGGTGATAAACTGAGGCCTCTCACCAACACCTAATCAAACAGTCTTGCCAGTAGCCACCAGGAACTGAGACCTTCTGCCATGACCAGAGTCACATGTGTGATCAATCTTAGAGGTAGAACCTTTGGTCATTCAAGGTTTAGAAGACTATAGCCTAAACCAGGACTGCCCAACTGGGCTAGCATCAATTCCTAAGCAACAGAAACTAAGATGCAGGTGGGTTTTTGTTTGTTTTTGTTGTAATTTTGTTTTGAGATAGTGTCTTATATATTCCAGGCTGACCTCAAACTTGCTATGGACAGTTGTTAGCTGCCATGTGAGTGCTGGGAATTGAACCTAGGTCCTCTGCAAAAGCAGTCCTCCTAACTGCTGAGCCATCTCTCTAGCCCCTTGGTCAGTGTTTCTATCACAGCAACAGAAAAGTGACTAATACAGGTACCATGAGGCCAAGAATTCCAGATTCCTTTCTAGAGAATTATTTCAAGAATCCAAGCTGGGAGCAGGAATGTGAATCACCCATGAATAGCCAGACAGTCTAATGGCTGGCAGGAGGTTCAGGGCAAGTGAACTGGGGAATCCAAACTGGGAAATATGAACACTGAAGAGAGATGTCATGAATGAAGGGTTGTGGCAAGTTAAGAACAATGCAAAAAAGATGATTCAAAGCTACAAAGATGGCTTAGTAAATACTTGCCACACAAGCATGAGAACCTGAATTTGGACCCACAGCACACATTTTAGCGTGGTTCAAATGAGAATGTTGCTCATAGGTTCCAAG